TTACCAGATAGTTCTGACATTTAATGCCAAGAACAACTAGCAGTAGGAAGAAATCACATGTGAAAATGAAGAGAAGGGGGGAGAAAATGACTCCCACTATCCCATGAATCTATTGGCTAGCTAGTGATCAAAGCATGGAATATTGCGACGATGGAGGGGGATTTCATTTTATAAATTTGTTAGCTAAACATGGCGGTGTTGACTGTTGACAAATGAATGGCATCTTTGTTTTATTTTATATTAACACAAGTCAAGAACCATGCACTTATTGTAAACATATGCTTTGCTGCCAACTTCTTCTCAATCAACGTTCTCTCACAAATACCACGGAACACCTAGTGTTAGTGTATTTAATAATATATATTGCGTAATTAAGGTTGTAGTTAATGCTATATATTTCTTCTTGAAAAAAAAAACTATTTATTTCTTTATAGTTTAGACTTCAATGGTAAAATCACTAGAATCCACGTAGAAATGAACAGCTTTTAACTACCTTTGTTGGGTTCTTTTATCATTACGACACACTTTGATACAAGTTTTGAAAAAATAATAATGAATATGAAAGTATTATGAAAAATAGCTTAATAATGATTGTACATAATTATTATTGAAAATAAAAATTATTTTAAAAATTATTTTTATTTAAATTAATCAATAAATATAAAAGCTAATCCAAATTTCTATAAAGATTTAATTGTCAAGAAAAGAAATTCAAGATATAAATACTAAGGAAAAAAAAAAAGATGAGATAAGTTGATGTAACATGAGAGAGAAAGAAAAAAAAAATAATGGGTCACCGATGATACACCGGGATTCTATTTTTGACATATTCAATATTTTTAGAAAGATTTTGATAAGATAATTCTAATAATATATTGAAAAACCATCAAATAAAATTGTAATTGATTATGAGTTTTGTTAAGGATTAATTTAAAATTAATTATAAATTTATTTGATAATCTTCTAAGATGTTAGAATTATCTTATCAAAATATTTATAAAAGTACCAAATATGTTAAAAGCAGAGCACCGGTGTGTTTCCACTAAGCTATTCTTTCTTTCTCCCCCCTCCCTGCCCATTTCCCTCTCTCATCACATCATATTATCTTCTCTTTTTTTTTTTGGTTAATTGAAACTTGAATTCTATCTTTTGATTACCGGATATTTATAATATCTTAAGTAAGTTTTGAAAAAATAACAATGAAAATGAAAGTATTATGAAAAATAGCTTAATAATGATTGTACACAATTATTATTGAAAATAACAATTTTTTTAAAAAATATTTTTATTTAAATTAATTAATAAATATAAAAGCTAATCCAAATTTTTATAAAAATTTAATTGTCAAGAAAAGAAATTCAAGATCTAAATGCTAAGGAAAAAAAAAGATGAGATAAGTTGATGTAACATGAGAGAGAAAGAAAGAGAAAAAAAAAGGAAATAATAAGTCACCAGTGATACACCAGGATTCTATTTTTAACATATTCGGTATCTTTAAAAAAAATTTAATAAGATAATTCTAATAACACATTGAAAAACCACCAAATAAAATCGTAATTGATTATGAGTTTTGTTGAGGATTAATTTAGAGTTAATTATAAATTTATTTGGTAGTCTTCTAAGATATTATTAGAATCACCTTATCAAGATTTTTATAATAATACCAAATGTGTTAAAAACAAAGCACCAAATATTTTCATTGACCTATTCTTTTTCTTTATCACACCATCTTATCTTCTTTCTTTTTGTTATCAATTGAATTTTGAATTTTATTCTTTTATTATTGGATATTCATAAATCTTAAGTAAATTTTTATTTAGGTTAATTAATTTGTGGCTAAACAAATATTATTGTTATTGGGATAATCCAATAACAGTTGTTTAGCCATGTTTAGGTTAATTAGTTTGCCAAAAAAACATATTGTTTTCCAAATTCTTCTTAAACTCATATCATCCTTCCAATATTTTTATTAAATTGTGTTATTTTTTTTTAAATATATCTTTTGTTGGGAGCTAGGCACTTGGGAACCCGAAGTGAAGTCAATCCAACTTCAGGAGGAAATCAAAGGAAATTACCATTACCCATTTTAACTTTTTGCTTGGATCTAAAATCTTATAAAAACAACATGCGTCTACTAATTTTAATTTGCAATGCCGTCCATGATCGCCTGTTGCTGTAGATGTTCCAGCAGTTTGCGACCGTGTCATTGACTTTAACACCTTTATGAAGAAATTCAAATTACAAAAAAAAAAAAAAAAAACACTTCAAGTATTAACTTTACGTGCAGCTACAAAATTTCGATTTCAATTGTGATATGGATGGTTGCTTGCTATCTAGCAGGAAAATCCCCCAGAACTTGCCCACTTAAATTATAGCTAATAATCAAGCATAGAGCTCTTATACTATTCCCAAGCAATTTACCAGTTTTTTTTTTTTTTTTTTGGTTCCTTGATTTTGCAAATAATTGTTTTGTTCAATCAACGATTGAAACCGTAAGGAATTGGTATGATAGAGCATACCCTAATGTCCCTCCCGGACCCTCTGCCCATATGCAATCTAAGTTAATTTATGTCAGATAATCACATGCTGCTGTGTTTGAAACAGCTAACAAGTTTCTCAGAACATTATGGACTTCTATCTCTATCTCAAGTGTTATGATTGTCCAACGCGCATGCCTCGCGCATGAATTACCGGGTTGGAATCCATTTTACACGCTTTCAACTTGCCATAGTTAGGCTAAAAAACATATTCCTTTGAGTCCCTTTTTTTTTATATGACCGCAAAGAATATATATATGTCTATGTAAGTATATGTTTGAATAGTTTCATAATAGATTAAAATAATAGCTAAAAGATACGAGAATTTCACTATAAATTAAGATGTAGTTTATTGTAAACCATCTAGGTGGTGACCCAATGATAAAAACTTGAAATTAAGAGATTTGTTTTTTTTATGGTCTCAGGTTCGAATCCTTAATTGTTTATATGATGGTCAGTGAAAATTTATATGGTCGTTAACTTCAAAACCTGTAAGATTAATTGTGATGTGTGCAAGCTAACCCAGACACCTATATTAATCTAAAAAAAAAAATATAGTTTATTATGAATCTAAATAAAAAAAATGATCATTTTACTCTTCTTAGCTAAAATATTTAACTAGCAATTCAGGTAAAACTAGTCTTCCTTCATGGGATTCATTTATTATTAATGCATTGATAGGGATAAATCAATACTTTTACATTTAGGGTGTATAATAAAATAACTTATATATCCTTTAAAAAACTAGCTATTGTGCAGAGTTTTCTTTGTCCTTTAAAGCTTTGAATGCATAATGAAATGACTATATTGCTTTTAAAAGAGAAAAAAATTAAAATAAAACTAACATCCAAAAGTTTTTTTATCCTTTCATCATGACTTTTTAGTTATTATCATTGTGAATGAGGGGTAATTTAGACTTTTAACAAATTTAAAAATACTTAAAAAACAAAAAAGTTGATGGTGTTTGTTACATACGAGCCAATAAATAAGAGGCATCCACATTCTTTGAGTGGTGTGTGAGACTCCTCCTAACGTTTAATCACCACCTTTAACAACGATGCTTGGAACAATACATAGTTATCTCTACGGTGGCCAGGTGTGTATGTACAACGGAATAGCAGCTAAGCTTTCATGGTTTTTTTTCTTTTACTTTCTATTTTCTCTCTCATAACATCAAATTTCACACCAACCCTCCTCAAAACCAATTATGTCTTGGAGTTTTATTAATTTTTATTTTTATTTTTTTTATTGTTATTTTTGTATTGTTATTTTATAAATAATGAGGCACTAAAATGAAAAATAAAATGAATTAAGAAAAGGATAAAAAATAGCAATAAAAAAATAAAAATCAAAATTGAATATAAAAATTAAATGAAATAAAATGATAAAGGGTAAAATTGAAAATAAATTTCAAGAAAATAATAAAAAAAATAGTAATAAAAAAATAAGAACCAAATTGGATACAAAAATTAAATGATTGGGTAATTTTTCTTTATGATTTTTTCATGTTTTTTTATGTGGTAATTTCAATTTCATAATCTGGGATACTAATTTTTTTGAAAATCAGTTAGATTTGATTTTGATCTTTATTTAGTTTTTTAATTTATTTAATTTTATTAATTTTATTATTTAACTTCAGGTTAATGGACTTTAAATTTAATGGTTTTTTATTTGATGTTATCCTGATCTCATATTCCAAATCATAAGTTAATCTCATATCCCAAATCATAAGTTAATTAAATTAATCTAAATTAATTTATTTTTTTAAAAAAATATTTTTATTTTTTTTAAAATTTAATTATTTGACATTGTCAAAGACATTCAACTAATCATAGCATATTACATCTATCTAGGATTACGAGAACACAAATTTATTTAAATGAAGTCTATAATTAAAAGAGGTAATTAATTAAACACAAATTCATTTAAAATGAAGTTTATAATTAAAAGATGTAAAGTTTAGAGAAGTAGTTTAATATATTAGATTTTAAATTTATTTTTAAAAAATTTCAGCTATTAAAAGATTATATAATCTCCAACGTCGATGTCTGATAAATTTATTGAGATGTGTGTAAATTTAGACGGACATTCACATCAGTAAAAAAAAAAAATTGTAATTAATATGGTTGATGACAAATACAAGGCATCATATGTGAGGTGATGACAAATAGGAAGCTCTGGCCAAAGTGCGTGTAAGAAATCATCCGGGTCGTCTTGTCTTCCACCTTTTCACCTTTCACTCTGATGATGAGAGATTTACAGCCAAGTATGGTTACACTACTAATTTAAAAAGAGATAAAATATTTAAAAGACGAGAATAAAATAAAACAAAGGCAGAGAGGGGGAACGCAAAAGGACACAAGACTGACAGCTAAGCAAAAAAAAAAAAAACAGCAAGCACTGGAGACTTTTTATTTAAGGTTTTGGAGGTGGGTGGATGGATGGATAGAGATCTGTGTGTGCCCGGCTGCTTCTGTCTTGGCGAGGTTTTAATGCATATCCCATTATCCTAGCCTAGTCTCGCCCTTCTTTCCCTCCTCTGTTTTGAAAATTGCAAGGGAGATCTCAATTCCCCTTCATTCTCTCTGTTTTGAAAATTGCAAGAGAGATCTCAATTCCAGCGCCATTTCTAAGTATTCAGTTTTTGTAGCAGGTGGAAAATTAAGGTACAATCTCACATTAGCAATGACTAGTACCCACTTGATCTTCTCTGTCTGTGTTTTGTCATTCTTGTTGCGTTGAGTTGCTCTTTCAACACCCCCCCCCCTTCTCAATTACTCTCTGCTAGTAATTTCTTTTCTCTGACAGATATATTTATATGTGCTGCCCATATGACATGCCTGTTCCCTCCTTCTTTGCTTTCTACAATTCAGATCTGGCCTTTTTCTGGGTGCCCTGTTTCCTTTCTTGATTTGTTTTTTCTAGACTTTTATATCGTTACTATCTTTTGAGTTACTCTGTTTTTGGATGGTAAGCATTGCTTCACTCTGTTACTGCCCCTTCTTCTACCGCTTCTCTGGCCTTTTTTATGGTATTTTTTTTCTGTCAAGATTTTGATGAAATTCATGGAACTATATTTTCTTCTTTTTTTTATTGAACGGTGAAAGATTGCTTTTTGGATTGAATGGGGGTCATGTAATAGTACGACTAGTATTAGCCATTGATGATGCATGAGAAATGAAGAAAACAGCTGATTGGAACAAAGTGATGATTGAATCATGGGAAACCTTTTCTTGGGTTTCAAGGAAATCATTAAAATTACTTAATGGTTTATAGTTCTTTTCCTCTTTTATTTCCTTTTTGCTTTTTCATTATTTGGTGTAAGATCTAGTGCTTCGCCTTTTGACTTATTGGGGGGGGGGGGGGGGGGGGCCC